TAAACTGAAGAAGTACATTACAACTTAACTTTCCGTTCTATTATTCCAGTTTTGCTCTTCAGTGTATGTATATTTCCATTGAATGCAGGGTATAAACAGTTTTCTGAACTTAAATTGTAAATTTCTGAATTTGAAATGGAAATTTTCTGAATATAAATTGTAACTTTCTGAATTTGAAATGAAAATTTCTGAATTTGAATTGCAACTTTGTGAATTTAAAATGGAAATTCTGAATTTGAATTGCAGCTTTCAGAATTTAAAATGGAAATTCTGAATTTGAATTGCAGCTTTCAGAATTTAAAATGGAAATTCTGAATTTGAATTCTAACGTTCTGAATTTGAAATGAAAATTCTGAATTTGAAATGGAAATTCTGCACTTGAATTGCATTCGCGAATGTGAAAAATATGACATTCGAAACATCTCTACTCTGCATATACAAACATTTAAAAACCCAGTAGAACAGGATCCAATAGTTGTGTTGGTATGTTTTGAAAGTCAGCCTCTGCCACTATAAATTCGTAAACAGTTTATGTTCAGAAGCCACTTCAACCTAACCTAACCTGACCCGATGGTCAATGTTGAAAAAATCAAGAGTTTTTTTTTCAATTTACCCGATCAAAATGCTTAACAATCTAAGTGTAATAATACATTACTAACCTTTTCAAAACAAGTTTGCTTTTTATAATAGGATGAAAAATATTCGATCTTCAATAGATATGTAAGTGCATTAAGTACTAAAAAAGTTTTTTTTTTTTCAATAAAAGAAACTGAGAGGGTTCAGGAACTACATAGGTATAAGAAACCTATTTTCATGTTGTTGTTGTTGTTGTTGTAGCGGCACTACTAAGCCCCGCCTGTTTCGGGTCAACTTTTAATCATTATCGTCAAGCTCAACTAACGGTAGGCCCAGGAAACGAGCTGTTTCGATGGGGTCGGACCAAAGGGAGAGGGGTGTTAGTTGAGTCGGATTGAGCTGGCATGTGAAGAGGTGGTTGGTGTCGTGGGGGGAGTCTCCACATGCCGGGCACTTATTTGGGATGTTTGGGTCGAGTCTGGACGGCTACAATATCCAGACCGTAACTGAGCCAGGGTAACGCGGGTCTAGGTAGTTGAAGCTCCGTCTCTTCCACAGGTGGTGATTGGGCTCCGATAACGACATTCTTAGGCCTGGAGTCGAGGTAGGTGGAGACTGACTCCCTATGAATGTCGTTAATCGCTTGTATGTACGTCATTGGGTCCAGTGGTTGGTCTGTGTGGGTCTGGACTGCGTCCTTGTACACGAATAGGTGCCCCCTGACGTGCCTGGGCGGAGGCTCCTCCTCCAGCAGTGGTCTGTTGGGGTGTTCGCTTCTGTGACACCCCACCAGAAACTGCTTACAGAGCATTTTGTTGTGTTCCCTTACTGGGAGCACCTGGGCCTCGCTGTGTAGGTGGTGCTCAGGCGTCATCAGAAGGCATCCAGTCGCTGTCCGGAGTGCGGCGTTCTGACAAGTCTGTAGCTTCGTCCACTGCGTCCAACTAGTCCCCGGTGACCAAACTGGCGCTGCATAATTTAGAACCGGCCGGCCAATTGCCTTGTATGTTGCCAGCAACGTTTCTTTGTCTTTGCCCCAAGTGCTGCCGGCGAGCGACTTGAGGACCTTGTTTCGGCTCTGTACTTTGTTGACAACTGCGGTTGTGTGCGCGGAGAAGGAGAGCAGGCTATCAAAGGTAACGCCTAAAATTTTTGGGTTGTTCACCGTCGGTATAGGTGTGCCGTCGACGTGAATGCCTAATTCTAGCCTGGTTAGGGTTAGGCTCCTTGCAGTGAAGAAGCGAGAAAGGCTGGAGAGATAGCCGTTTACTTTTGAGCAGAGGTCATCAATTCCATTCCCAGACGCCAAAATCGAACAATCATCAGCGTACGAGATCAGGGAAACTCCTTCAGGAGGCTGGGGGAGTTTCGAGATGTAGAAGTTAAAAAGTAAGGGGGAGAGAACACCACCTTGTGGAACCCCTTGTTTTATTCTTCTTGGTTTCGAGGTTTGATCTCTGAAGATTACTGATGATTGTCGACCACTCATATAATTCGCCGACCATCGCTTCAGTCCCTGTGGGAGAGAGGAGGCCTCAATGTCTTCTAGCAGCGTGGAATGGCAGACGGTGTCAAACGCCTTTGACAAGTCCAGCGCTACTAGGACAGTTCTCTCACAGGGGCGGTTTCGATTTAGGCCACGAGTTATCTGGGTGTTTATGGCGTTAAGTGCTGTTGTTGTGCTGTGCACTTTACGGAAGCCATGCTGATGTTTCGCTGGGGTTAGGTGGCAGGTGAAGTATGGGAGCAGCAGGGCCTCAAGTGTCTTCGCGACCGGGGAAAGGAGCGTTATCGGGCGATAAGAGTCTCCTCTGTTGGCGGGCTTCCCCGGTTTCAGCAGTGGGACCACTCTCCCTGATTTCCACACATCAGGAATGATGAGAGTGGTCATAGACAAATTGAGGACCTCCGTGAGGTATGCTACCCCCACAGGCCCCAAATGTTTCAACATCAGCATACAGATTCCGTCGGGTCCAATGGCTTTGGAGGCTTTCGCCTTCCCGATGGCCCCCTTCACTTCACCGCTGGTGAAAACAAGTGGTGCACTGTTTTTGGGCAGTTTGTGCAGCCTCCTGGTCACTCGACGTTTGGCCTTGTCTACCGAAGGATGCAGTGTGAATTGCCGACTGAAATAGTTCGCGCATTTCTTCGGGTCCGATGAGGCGTGACCTTCGAATGAAATTTCCACTCTGTCATCACGCTTCGTCGGGTTGGACAAGGACCTCACGGTTGACCAGAGCTTACTCACACCAGAGGTGAAGTTACAGGCCTTCAAGTGCTCTTCCCACTTTGTCCGCTTGTGTTGATTTACCAGTTGCCGAATCTCCAAATTAAGTTCCCTCAAGCGAGGGTCCCCGGGGTCGACCTGGCGTAGGTGGTCACGCTCATTTGCTAGTACAGCTGCTTCAGCCGGGAAATTTGGGCGGACTTCCGCGATGCGTCCGGACGGTATGAAGCGAGCTGCTGCGGCTGTGACTACCTTGCGGAACTGGCGTTCGCCAGCATGTACGTCTGTGGGTGTGGGGAGGGCGGCGAAGCTGCTCTCGGTAACTTCCGCGAAGCCGTTCCAATCAGCTTTGTTGAAGTTGGTGTAGGTTCGGTGATCCGCGGGAGCAAAGTCGGTGGGCTTATTGATCGAGATGATTATGGGCAGATGGTCTGATGCTAACGTTAGCATAGGTCGCCATGATATGCTATTTATCAGACCAGCGCTAGCAATTGTTAGGTCTGGCGAGCTGCTGCAGCTGCCCACAATCCTGGTGGGGGCGTCGTCGTTCATGGTGCAGAATGTCGAATCGTCTATCTGCTCAGCCAAACTGTTTCCCCTCCGATCATTGGCCAGGCTTGAGTGCCAAAGATCGTGGTGCGCATTGAAGTCACCTACTACCAATCGGTTTTCGCCTCTGAGTAGCGCACCTATGTCAGGGAGATATCCAGCCGGGCAGCAGGTGACAGGGGGTATGTACACGTTAAATATTTCGAGCTCGACATCGCCTGACCGGACAGCTATGCCCTGACATTCTAGGGTAGTGTCCCTTGGGTCGATGTCTTCTTCGATTAGCCGATACTGCACTGTGTGGTGTAGAATGAACGCTAATCCTCCACCATTATCTCGCTCGCGATCTTTACGGAGCACATTGTAGGCGGCGCAACCCAACAGAGTTGAGTTGCTGTGCAACTTCGTTTCTTGGACCGCAGCTATCAATATGCCGTGCCGACCCATAAAGACTGCTATCTCCTCAATCTTGCTCTGGAGTCCGTTGCAGTTGAGTTGGAGTACGTTCGTATGCCTTGGGAGGCTGGTCGCGATACGGGGAGTGAGGGAAGTGTGGGGCCTACCTTGGGCCTGTTGCGCCTGACGCAGTTGCTGTTGCAGCCTGATGGTAGGTGGCTGCGATATGGGCGTTGTTGTCTGCGCCGGCGGTGCACTACAGCAAGGGGCGCTGTAGTTTGTAGTCCACTCGCGAGTGGTGCGTAGACCAGAACATAGCCGGAAGTGGCACCAGCCAAGGCATGTGTTGCATTTGACTGATGTCACATTCCGGTATATTCTGTTCTGGCACACGGAGCAGATGGTGTGGGCAACCAGTAGCTGCTGGTTGGCTCGCGCTCGCGAGTGGGACCGGCCGGTAGGTTGTGTGGGTGGGGTGTGTTGGGAGGTTTGCTGTTGCTCAGGGGAGCTTCTGGGGGCCGTGCAGGCTCTTCGGGTGCTAGGTCGCACCCGTGCATTACGCGAGTGGGTAGCCGTGGAGGCAGATTGTGCCATTTGGCTTGAGCAACAGGGAGCCACAAAGTTTGTGGTCCACTCCCGGTGAGACCTAAGGCCAGAGTAGGTTCTTAGGTGACTCCATCCGTTGCAGGAGTTGCACCTAACCGAAGTGGAGTTCGGGTGGAGTCGATTCTGGCAAACACAGCAGAAGTAAATTTCAGGTCCGGGGTTGGGCTCTACGCAAGCCCGGAGAAGAAGGATGCGGAGCAATCCGGCTGCAAGGTATTGCTCCATGGACGAATAATGATTGGTGGGTATCGCCGATCTAGACGGGGTTAGATCGCCGAAACAACAGCCCTTGGTCGGGTAAGACCCGAGTCATTCCGGTACGTAGAACCGGCTGTCGTGGGAATGATTTTCATGTTGTACTCGACCCTACCTACACTGTTTTGTTTCAGGTGTATTTCGTGACTTTTTAATGTAGCACCGTGTGGTTAAAAATCAATTTGCATATGTAGAAATTATAAGCAAATCATGCTGAGACCCCCAAAACCGCCCTAAATTCGACCGTTTGGCGTATTTGCGATTTTAAGTATGAAATTTTCTATTACTCGACAAAATTCACTATATGTGTTATGTTACTAATGAAAAGAATTAAAACAAGATAAATAGGGCCAAAATTAATGTCTATATAAATTTTTATATATTGTCTTACTTGAATAAGGGGCAACCAGGTTCGATTTCAATATTTTCTTGTCCATCTTCACGTACAGCTTTTTTGTGAACAGTGCCTCCGAATTCTTTATTTATAAGTTGCATTCCATAGCAAATACCAAGTACAGGTATTTTTATTTTAAAAATGTCGGGGTCATAATTAGGTGCATCTTCAGCGTACACAGAATTCGGCCCACCGGATATTATTATACCTATATAACCATTTGTACGCAATTTTACAGCTGGTGTGTTCAACGGTAAAATTTCCGACTCCACAAGTAGTTCCCGTATTTTGCGGTCTATCACCTGAAGTAAATGTATACATATTTACGGAATGATTCTAGTAACATTATCATATACCTTTCCATATTGTGAACCAGCATCCAATATGACAACTTTGTTGTGGCGCATCCCATTCTCAGCTAATGAAATTTTGCTGGTTACACTCATACTAAGTTCTCGAACTGAAAAAAAAGAGATTGTGTTATTTTGTATAGTCCAGAAAATTCATATACATACATTTACTTATAATACATTTTGTCTGACGTTATTTGGATAAAACCGCATTTCCAAAACAATACATTTGAAGAATTTGAACACAATTACGCATTACGACTAAATTTAAGTCATTGAACCAACACATAAAAATTAGAAATTGAGTTAGCTTCATACGCACACCGTTCAATTTCGGTTGGTCCCATACAAGTTATATGTACATACGTTAGAGTGCCCATCTGTCCAATTTCAAAAACATTCAAGACGGTGCTGAAGAAGGCTAAGCACAATGTGTATTTTTTGATATACGCATATATCATATAAGTCGGCGGTGCCACCCCCATTTTCTAAAAACTTCTTGAAAAACCACCTTTTTGCTAAAGAGCGATTGTATATATCAATTTTGAATAAATATTAATGGATTCCTTGGCCACACCGCTCAAATAATCTGAAGTTCCGGTACATACACAATATACATTCTAGGCCGTATTTAAAAAAAGTTGCCTAACATCGACAATTTTTATGCGATTGCAATAAATTAGGTATCATTTTATTTGAAAATAGATTTAATTTTAGGTAGTACTACATATTTTGAAACTGTGGAAATAAGTGATGGTCAAAACTTAAAAAAATAAGAAACATTTTTTTTTTTATTTGCCCGATGAAAATACCCGACAATCAAAATCTGATAATAGATTATTATACATTATTTTAAAAGCCTATACGTGCTCTTCTCACAATATGTTCGGTCTTTAAAATTGAATGAAAACTAGTCATTCATAAACTGATAAATCTACAAAACCGTACTTTCTGACCTAAAATAATTTTTGAAAAATCTATAAAAATAAGCAATATTTAATAATTCTTATAAAAAGGGAGGAAATAAGGGGGTAGGGTCTTGAATTTTCAAAAATGGGCGAAAAGCAGGATTTACCGTGGGAAATTGAGCAGTTTGAAGCGGAATATAACCCAACTAACAGAATCTGTGGGGTTTTTAAATAAAAGAAGTTATCCCAAGGTGGTTATCAGGCGAAAGAAGGGGGCCTGAACACCTTTCGCAGAGAACTCCTTTCTGCGTAGGCGGCCTTCGGCCGCACTTAGGGATTATAACCCTCAGGCAGTAGAATTCTCCTTTCTGTGTTGCCAAAGAAGGGGGCTGAACACCTTTTGCAGAGAACACCTTTCTGCGTAGGCGGCCTTCGGCCGCACTTAGGGATTATAACCGTCAGGGAATAGAATTCTCCTTTCTGTGTTTGCCAAAGAAGGGGGGCTGAACACCTTTTGCAGAGAGCACCTTACTGCGTAGGCGGCCTTCGGCCGCACTTAGGGATTATAACCCTCAGGCAGTAGAATTCTCCTTTCTGTGTTGCCAAAGAAGGGGGCTGAACACCTTTTGCAGAGAACACCTTTCTGCGTAGGCGGCCTTCGGCCGCACTTAGGGATTATAACCGTCAGGGAATAGAATTCTCCTTTCTGTGTTTGCCAAAGAAGGGGGGCTGAACACCTTTTGCAGAGAGCACCTTACTGCGTAGGCGGCCTTCGGCCGCGCTTAGGGATTACAACCCTCAGGCAGTAAAACTCTCCTTTCTGTGTTGCCAAAGAAGGGGGGCTGAACACCTTTTGCAGAGAACACCTTCCTGCGTAGGCGGCGTTCGGCCACACTTAGGGTTTATAACCCTCAGGCAGTAGAATTCTCCTTTCTGTTTTGCGAAGAAAAGGAGCTGAACACCTTTTGCAGAGAACACCTTTGTACATTTTTAATGCTTACTGGGTTATATCCTATTTTCTTTTGTCTCATTCTTTTGCATATTTTGGAGTTTGACAGCTGAACTCCGCCATTTAATTTGCATATGCAACCGAAGTCAGACGCATGATTTAGGTGTTAGTATTTAATAAATTGTGATTGATTGGTTAATATTAAAGTCATAAAAAAAGTTATAACTCATCGAGTAAAGTGTAAAGTGAAGGAGAATATAAAAATATATTGGTGAAGTGGCTGCTTTAAGTAAAATAGGAGTGATAAATGTACGCTAATTTCCGAGCTTTAAAAAAAGGGCCTATTTCTAACCCAATTTGTAAATAAATTGGTAACCAAAAATTACATAAGTGGGTGTTAAAATAATAGGGGTATTCTCTGAGTCTTGCAAAGGCCTTGCATGGTGCACATATTGCACGGTAAAAACCGGTTTTCGTATGGGACAACTTTGCAACCCGTGCAATCCGTGCACCGTGCAAGGGCTTTGCAAGACTCAGAGAATACCCCTAATGTGTAGACCCTTGGATCGGGCCACCCCTTTGGACGCAATACCTCGAAATAGATCGGCAACGTACTAAACCATTAAATTAATTAATTAATTAAATTATATATATATCAGTCATCGACTAGCTATTAACGTGCTCGGACGTGTATACTAGTGCTATCGCCAGTGCGAATTCAATAAACAAAATAAGCTAAAAACAATAGTGCTTCTCAACATAGTGCTTAATATATTCCTTGTTACACTTTCGTAGCAATAACTTATAAACAAGTTCAGTGTTCGATCAAAATACCGTTTGTGCCTACACAAAAATGCCACCAACACCTGATCCGCCGGACAAAACAACAAACCGTTTTTCAATACTAAGGGAAATGGACACATACGACACACACACATTCCCTACACTTCAACAAAAACAAACAACACCCAGCCAACCAAAATACCTAACAATATCTTCAACCAATGGACAATTAATCAAACTTTCCCCGTTTGTAATAAAAAAAGGTATTGATGCGATATCTACCCAAATAGACAGCATTAAACAGCTTAAAGACGGTTCACTACTGGTTTTGGCACGCAATTCTAAAGTAGCTGAAAAATTTTTAAAAACCAAATCTCTTCTAAACATTTACCCTATCACAGTCAAGCTGCAAGACAACCTCAACACGGTGAAAGGTATAATATACGCCCCATGTCTCAACTTCGTAAAAGAAGATGAAATTGTCCAAGAGCTAAAAAGTCAGGGAGTGACCAGTATTTTCAAATTCACCCGCACACTCGACGGAAAAACAACCCCCACAGGAAAAATCGTTGTAAACTTTGACTTGTATCACCTTCCAAAAATCACTAGATGTGGCTTGGTACAAAGTAAAAGTGTCTCCCTACTACCCTAACCCCATGCGTTGCAGAAATTGCCAACTCCTAGGTCATACCAAAACCAGATGCTCTAATCCAAGCACCTGTGAAGGATGCAATTTGCCGCCCCATTCTCCAGTTGAATGCACACGCAAACAATGTGCAAACTGTGGTGAAAATCATTCCTCCTCTGATAAAGACTGCCGCAGGTACAAGCAAACAAAAGACATTTTAAAAATTAAAACGATAGAAAAATGCTCTATGGGGGAAGCGCGTCGCAAATATAATGAAAAACACACTCATACACAAAAACCACAAATTTCATACGCCAACATCACTAACCCAACCCTGAACAAACCAAGCACAAAAACAACGCCAAATACATCTACATCTACATCCGCAACATACAAACGCCCAGCTTCGCCAACAAAAGCTAATATAACTAAAATAGCAAAAACTCAAACGCATATTAACAAACTCATAACCGACAACGACTCTACTACCAATAAGACATCCACCCAAATTACTCAATTTACAAACGAAAATGTAAACTCAAACAAGAAAAATTTACCAACAACTAATCCTTCTCACGAAGACTCACATACCCACTCTAGTCAAACGCAAATCACTTCGCAAACCAACACCACTTCATCTCCACTCAGCCAAATAACACAACAACTATTAAACGAAAGCAGCTATTTCATGTCAGTCTCTGATTCCGAAGAAGAGCCTAAACTATAAAAAAAACAGAAACAAAAACAAGCAAATTATCAAATCAAACATACATACTTACTCTAATATTACACATACATTCACAAATGATTTTTAAAATAATACAGTGGAACATTAAGGGCTTCCTAAACAACTATAATGAACTTAACATGCTAATAAAAGAACAAACTCCCACTTTCCTGTCGTTGCAAGAAACTCATTGCCCCGCAAATTTTTCTCCAATTGTACCCAAAAACTATCTCAGCTACTTCCATAACACCCCACAAAACACGACATCCAAACAAGGTGTAGGTGTACTGATAAAAACAAATATTCCAAACAAAATAGTACCAATAAACACACATCTGCAAATAATCGCGGTCGAAATCAACTTAAACCCAAAATTTACAATAATAAGTTGTTACATACCACCTAATCAACAAATTCCCTGCCAACATCTAACCAATCTACTTGCGTCCATTCAAACACCAGTTGTACTGCTAGGTGACTTTAACAGCTGGAACCCTTTATGGGGCTCTCCATCGCCCAACTCTCGAGGACAAATTCTTGAAAACGTTATAAATGAAGCGGAACTATGCATTTTAAATGACGGTAGACCCACACATTTATCAACACATGGTATTTTAACACACATAGACATCACATGCTCCACACCAAATTTCCTTCCATTTATCACATGGAACGTTTTAGAAGACCTTTATCACAGCGATCACTTCCCTGTGATATCCACAATCACTCTATCACAAACTTACAGCACCCACTACACAACAAACAAGTTTTTATGCGATTTTGCAGAATGGGAAAAATTCAACCAAACTGTGGAACTCGAACTCGAAAAAAGACCATACAGCGATAGCCCAAACAAGGAAGCAAATAATATGACTAAAGCAATACGCACAGCAGCTAACCTATACATCCCTCAATCTTCAAATAGAGGCAGAAAACACGTACCTTGGTGGAACTCAGGGCTGGCTTTTTTACGAAGTGGAAAGATGGCAGCATGGCACACTTTCCGTAGACACCCAACACAACTAAATCTCTTAGAATACAAAAGAAGAAATGCAATTTTTCGCAGAGAAATGAAGCAACAAAAGAAATCCAGCTTTCAAGACTTCGCAAAAANGAAAAAAGACCATACAGCGATAGCCCAAACAAGGAAGCAAATAATATGACTAAAGCAATACTATAATATGACTAAAGC